GGACGTGGAGGAGAGAGGGAGGAAGAAGAGGACGTGGAGGAGGAGAGAGGAAGAAAGAAGAGGACATCGAAGGGGAAGAGGAGGAGGAAATGGAGGAAAAAGAAGAGGACATAGAGGAGTAAGAGGAGGAAGAAGGAAGACAAGGAAGTCAAGAAGGGAGGAGGAGGAGGAAAAGGAGAAGTGAGGAGGAGGAAGAGGAGGAGGAAAAAGAAGAAGAGAGAGAGAGAGAGAAGAGAGAGAGAGAGAGAGAGAGAGAGAGAGAGAGAGAGAGAGAGAGAGAGAGAGAGAGAGAGAGAGAGAGAGAGAGAGAGAGAGAGAGAGAGACGTAGGTGGTATTATCATCATTTCTCTAAACAGAGAAACAATCACAATTGCTGGTACCATAACAAACAAACAAACAAACAGAATAAGGCATCACAAATAACAGAAACACAGAGAAACACCATTAAACAGAAAAAAAAGACGCGGCGAGATAGCGGTGACAATGAGAAAGACAGAGAGAAAATAAAGATAAAACAGACATAAACAAAAAACAAAACACACTTAACTACGTGACAGGTTTATGAATACAAGGAAGAATAAACCGGAACGACCAGGGAATGCAAGGAAGGGCAAAAGACCCATAGAAATGGACTCCTAGAAGCTTCATTTTTGTTGTTGTTGTAAGAAGTCGAAAGTCTTCAATGGCGCATGAGATTCCAGGGCGTCAGATCTGAAAGGTGAAAGGAGATAGAAATTAATTCACGTTCGGGTAAAATAAGTGAATTGTTGATGGCGAATTATGTTGATTTATTGATGGTTTATGATCATCGTGTTAATTTGGGATTGATATATAATTTTAGAGGTCATTTAGACGATGTTATGATGATGTTTATCTTTTGTTGATATTATTTTGGAATGTGAGATGTAACAGATGCTAAGAAAATGTGCCTTTTTTTGGTGCTATGGAATTAATGCTTTCCTTTTTTCGTCTCTCTCTCTCTCTCTCTCTCTCTCTCTCTCTCTCCTCTCTCTCTCTCTCTCTCTCTCTCTCTCTCTCTCTCTCTCTCTCTCTCTCTCTCTCTCTCTCTCTCTCTCTCTCTCTCTCTGTCTCTGTCTCTCTCTCTCTCCCTCTCCCTCTCTCTTTCTCTTCTTCCACTCATATTTCTTTCTCATTCTCTAAAGCCATCTCTTCCCTTCGTACCTTTTTACCGTCTTTTCATTTTATCTCTTCCCTTCCCTTCCCGTTATTTTTTCCCTTTCACTCCCCCTGTTTCTCTCATTTCCTTTTTTCACTCTCACTCCCTTTTTCTCTCTCCTTCCATCTTTCCCTCTCATTTTCATTTTCTTTCTCATTCCTTTATATTCTATATCTTTTCTTTCATTTACTCTTATTCTCTCTTTCTCTCTCATTTCCTCTTTTTCTCTCATTCCCTCTTTCTCTCTCATTCCCTCTTTCTCTCTCATTCCCCTTTCCCTCTCATTCCCCCTTTCTCTCTCATTTCCTCTTTCCTCATTCTTTCTCTCTCATTCCCTCTTTCTCTCTCATTCCCCCTTTCTCTCTCATTCCCTCTTTCTCTCTCCTCCCTTCTTTCACATTTCCTCTTGCATATTTACTGTACTTTAAACAACATATCTCACTTTATTATGCGACGGAATTACCAATTATGTAAATAATGACCGTTGGGAATAACGGAATAAAGTAGTTTGTAATTTGAATTTGAATCTGAATTCTCCTTTTCCTTCTTCTTTCTCTTTCTTCTTCCTTTATTTCCTGTCTTTATTCTTATTGTTCTTTCATCCTTCTCTTTCTTCTTTCGTCTCTTTTTTCTCTCGTTTCCTCTCCTTTTTTGCTCCCTCTCTCTCTTCTCTTTCCGTCCTTTCTACTTCTCTCTTTATCCTTCTCTACCTCTATCCCTCATTCTCCCTCCCCTCTCTCTCCTATATACTCTTTCCCTCCTCCATTCTTCCTCTTTCGCTCTCTTCTTCTTTTTTGGTGTCCCTCCCTTTTCCCTCTCTCTCTCTCTCTCCATTCGTCCTCGCTGTCTCTTTCCCAACTTTGTTCCCCTTTCCTCTCTCTTCACTCTTTCTCATTTTCTATCTTCCTCTTCTTTCCCCTCTCCCACATTCTCTTTCCTTATTTTCCCCTTTCCTTCTATCCCTTAGTTTTCCCCATTTTCTCTTTCTTCCTTCTTTTTTCCTCACTCTTCCTCTCTCTCTCTTTTTCTCATTTTTCATTCCCTGCCTCTCTCTCTTACTCTTCATCATTTTCCCTCTTTCTCATCTTCTTTCCCCTCTCCACTCTTCTATCTATTTCCTCTTTTTTCTTTCCTTTCTCCCTTAATCTCTCCTTCTCATCTCCTTTCCCTTCTCCCGCATTATATTTCTTTCTCTCTTTCCTTCTTATCTTCTTTCCCTTTTCCCGGATTCTTCTTCTCTTTCTCTCTCTCCTTCCCATCTTCTTTCCACTTTTCCCTTTCCCTCACTTTCTCTTTCTCTCTCCATCTCATCTTCTTTCCCCTCTCCCTTATTTTTCCTCTCTCTCTCCTTCTTATCTTCTTTTCCTCTTCTCCCTTTCCCTCACTCTTCCTCTCTCTCTCTCTTACCTTCTCCCTTTTCTTTCCCTTTTAACCTTTCCCTCACTCTATCTCTCCTTCTCTCTTTCTCAACTCCATTCCCTTCTCCCTCACTCTTCCCCTCTCTCTCTCTCTCTCTTTTTTTCCTTTTCTTCTTTTCCCTTTCCCTCACTCTATCTCTCCTTCTCTCTTTCTCATCTCCTTTCCCTGCTCCCTCCCTCTTCCCCTCTCCCTTTTTTCTCATTTTTTCCCTTTCCCTCTCTTCCTCTCTCTCTCTCCCTCTTTCTCCTTTTCCCCTTTCCCTTTCCCTCACTCTTCCTCTCTCTCTCTCTCTCTTTTCCTCCTCTCCCCCCTCCCCTACCTACCCCCTGACCTCCAAATCCTCATTCCTAATTGAATACGAAGGACTTCTCTTTCCTCAAGAATATTTTTCAAGAATATTTTCCTTGTTGATTACTAAAACGCCTGAAGATATATTGCTTTATCCGGATGTAATTTTCCCCCTCTTTTTTCCTTCCCTTGTCGAGGGTCAAGAGGGGAAAGAGGGAGGGGGGAGGGGACGTAGGAGGAGGAGGGAAGGGGGGAAGGGGGGAAAGGGGGAGGGGGGAGGGGACGTAGGGGACGTAGAGGGTTGGGAAGGGGGGGAGGGAGGGGGGGGGGGACGTAGAAGGAGGAGAAGGGGGGAAGGGGAAGGGGGGGTGGGGGGAGTTGTAGTCTAATAGAGTTTTTGGTCTTTTTTTTTGTCAAGTTTCACGGAAGTTTAATTTCTGTTTTCTGTCATTGTTTGTTTTTTTTGATTTTCATTTGTTTGTTTTTTCGTTCTCTTTATTTGTTGTTTTATGTGTTGTTTTATGTTTTTTTTTTTATAATTCTTTTTTTTCTTTTTTCGTTTTCTTTCGTAATCCCCTCGCCTTTCTATTTCTCTTATCCTTTTCTTTCCTTTCCATTTTCTCCTTTTCTTTCTTTTTTTATCCCTTGTTTCTCAACTTTCCTTACTTTTTCTTTTTTTTCCTCTTTTATCTTTTATTTCTATTTCCCCTCTTCTTTACCGTTAACTCTTCCCCTTAACTTTCTCATTTTTTCTTTCTCATTTCTTTTTTCTGTATATCTGCATTTTTAAAAGTTCTGTCTTTCTCTCTTTTCTTTTTTCTCTCTCTCTCTCTCTCTCTCTCTCTCTCTCTCTCTCTCTCTCTCTCTCTCTCTCTCATCTCTCTCTCTCTCTCTCTCTCCTCTCTTCCCTCTCCCTCCCTCTCTCCCTTCCTCCTCTCCCTCTCTCTCTCTCTCGGAAATTAATTCCCCTCTCTCTTCTCCCTCTCTTTTGGCCTCCCGAAGGACCGAAGGAAGACAAACGGTGAACACACAATCTCTTCCTCTTTTACAATTTTCCTCTTGGAGAAAGCACTTACTCTCATCGGCCTCTTGGCAAGTGGTGGCCGTTCCGAGAGGTTTGTTTAGCGATAATATTCTATTTTTACGCCTTCATTTTTTTTTTTCGGGGTGGGGGGGTGTGGGGGGTGGGGAATTCTTTATGGAACGTTTTTGTCTCTATTTGTCTTCTTCTTTTTGTTTGTTTGGTTGGTTCTTTGTTCGGGTCTTTTTTCATTTTAGTGCTTCTGACTGATTTTTTTTGTTGTGTTTTTTTTTTGTTATTTTTTTCTTGTCTGTAATTCAGAACTGTTTATCCTATTCGTTTTTTCTATCCTCTCCTTCTCCCCTCTCCTCCACGTCTTCATCCCCTTCCTCTCCATCTCCTCTCTCTTACTCTATGCTTCTCTTACCTCCCTTCCCTTTTCATATCCCTGTCTCTCTTCTTCCCCCTCATTATACTATCCTCCCCTTCCCCCTTCCTCCCCCACCCCTCCTCCTATTATCATTATGATGGATGATTTATGATTATCATTATCATTCCATCCAACCCTCCCTCACCCATCTTCCACCCACACCTCTCCCCATCTCACCCTCTCCCTCCCATCCCCCACTTATTCCTAACCTCCTCCCCTCATCCCCTCTTACCTCAGCCCCTCCCCCATTCCTACCCCCCCCCCCTCCCTCCCCCCTCTCTCCCTCTCCTTCTCTTCCCCTCTCACCCTCATCTCCCCTCCATTATCCCCCCTCTGCTCCCTCCCTCCCTCTCCTCCCCCTCCTTCCCCTCACCTACCCTCTTATCCCCATGGCCCCTCTCCCTCCCTCCCCCACCTGTCCCTAACCTTCTCTCCCCTCCCATTCCCTATCCCTCCTCCCCTCCCCCCTCCTCCTCTCCTTCTCCTTCCGCTCCAAAACTACCCTCTCCCCCATCCCACCCCACCCCCTCCCCTCCTCCACTCCCCTATCCCCTTCCCCCCTCCACTCCTCTCCCTCGAGTTCCCCTCCTATTCTTCTCCCTCGCCCTCCCCCCTCGCCCCTTCCCCCAACCCCTTCCCCATCCCCTTCTCACCCCTCTCACACTCAGCCCTCATCCAGGAACACCGCAGGAGCTCTCTTCTCGAAAGCCGGGGACGCCCATGTGTCCTCGAAGTCCTCGTCGTAGTCCGCCTTCTTGCCCCGCATCCCGAGGAATCCGACGAGGGCGCGCTTCTGCTGCTGCTGCTCACACGAGGGCGGCGAGGGCCTGCGGGGGAGGGGGGGGAGGTTATAGGAATTTCGTAGGATATGGATGTTTGTTGTGGTGTTGTGTGTGTTGTGTTAGCGCCGCGCGTGCCATGTGTGTAATATATAAATTAAATAATAGTATGAACTATTTATATATATGCATAATATATGAATACATGCAGATGTATATTGTGTGCATATGTACATATAACGCTACACAAAAATAATATATATATTATATATATAAATTATATATATATTAACAACCACATACACACCACACACACACACACCACACACCAGACAAACACCACACACACACACACACACATAATATATATATATTATATTATATATATATATATTTATAATAATTATACTTATATATATATATAACATACACACATATACATTCAACACAATCACACACACACACACACACACACACACACACACACACAACACACACACACACATATATATATATATAATATAAATATATATATATTATATATATAATATATTATATATATATATATTATAGTATATATGTGTGTGTGTGTGTGTGTGTGTGTGTGTGTGTGTGTGTGTGTGTGATAGAAATATATCAAGAAAAAGAATGACGGATATCAACCGCCACCCAGAATATTCTTATGAATATAAGCGTCCACATCGCCTCATCCTATACATCTTCTTGCCTCTCATGCCCAGGAAGCCGGAGGGAGCTTTCTTGCCCCGCATGCCAAGGAACCCTGGGGGCGAGGGGGGGGGGGTTAGCGTCTGGGGAGTGCTTAGTTGTTGTTGTTATTGTTATTGTGTTATTATTTTTGTTATTGTTGTTATAATTTTTTATCCTTTTTATTATTGTTTTTGTTATTATTATTATCGTTATTATCATTATTATCATAATTTTTTTTTATTATCAATGTAAATATTCATTATAATTTCTTTTTCGTATTATTATTCACTTATCATTATTATCATCATTATAAATACAATCATCGTATTCTTATTCTCATTATCATCATTATTATTATGATACACCATTCTCGTTATCATTTCATATTGTTATATTTATTTTTCAATAATTATCATTAAAATCATTCATTTTATGCAACTATATCATTATCATTTTTATTATCAATAAGATTATTATTATTGTCAATATTTTTATCATTATTATCATCATTATTACCATTGTTATTTTCATTGTTGTCATCATCTTCATTATTATCATTCTCTTTATTATTTTGATCATTATAATTATTTTAATTTTCAGTATAATTATAATTATCATCATTATCATATTATCATTATTACTAATATTATCATTGCATCATACCTCATTATCATCACAATGATAATGTTGATCTTACTACTACTATATTACTGATAACAATGACATAATTATCATTGTTTTCTATTATTATCAGTGCTATCAGTAACGTTTTCTTGATCTGACTTATCGTCAATATCATTGTCACTGTTATTACTATTATCATCATTATCATTATGATGAAAATTATTATATAATCATTATCATTATACATTAATCATAATCACTATCATTATCATTGCTTCAATTATTATTATCATTATCATTACTACAATTATTATCATTATCATTATCATTACTATCAAATCTATATTTTTTATCATTATCATCGTTATTATCGTCACCATCCTTAGCACTAATTCCCTTGTTTATATTTCGACGAAACAAATATATTCCTCAATTAAACCGAAAGAAACACCATCAGCAAAGGATCCCATCTCATTAGTCAAGTTTATAATTGTGGGTAATGGGAAGTAATTAGCGTTATGGCATGATTAAGGATCTGAGACGAAATTATGTCGAAATTTTGAGAACGTTCGAAAGTTTTATCGGTTCTCGGAATTATGGGTAATCCGCGAAATCGGAGGAAGGGAAGAAAAAGGGGAGGTGATATTTTGGGAAAGATGGGAAGAACATCACTGGGGTTGAATTGCGTCAATCATTATAGCAATTTGTGAATGAATGCACTGTCGAAATCATTACATATTCAACGAACCTTGTTTTGCGCATACATGCATACATGCATATATATATATATATATATATATATATATATATATATATATATATATATATTATATATATATATATATATATATATATATATATACATATATTACATATATATATATATATAGGTTGTATGTGTGTGTGTGTGTGTGTGTGTGTGTGTGTGTTGTGTGTGTGTGTGTGTTTATATGACACACACATGTATGCATGCTCGTATAACATATGCGCATATGTAAACCTACCTACGCCGACACGCCCGCCTCCCCCCTCCGCCTCTGCGCCTCCCTCACTCACCGGAAGGAGCCTTCTTTCCCCTCATCCCGAGGAATCCTGAAGGAGCTCGCTTAAGGAGGCTCTCGAGCTCGCTGTCCACCTCGTTCCCGGCGAAGACCTGCTCGTCGCTCTTTTTCCCCCGCATCCCCAGGAAGCCAGAGGGCGCCTTTTTACCTGCGGGGAGAAAGGAGAGGGACGGGTGAGAATTTTTTTAGCTGCGGGGGGAAAAAAGAAGGAGAAAGGGGGAGGGGCGGGGTGAGATTTTTTAGCTGCGGGGAAAAAAGGAAAAAGGGGGGAGGGGCGGGGTGAGTTTTTTTGCTTGCGGGGGAAAAGGAGAAAGAGGGAGAAAAAGGAGAAGGGGAAGGGTTGGGTGAATCTTTTTACCTGCGGGGGAGAAAGGAGAGGGGCGGGGTGAGAATTTTTACTTGCGATGGGGGAAAAAAAGGAGAAAGGGGGAGGGGCGCGGTGATTTTTTTTAGCTGCGGGGGAAAAAAAAGGAGAAAGGGGGAGGGGTGGGGGTGAGTTTTTTTTGCTTGCGGGGGGAAAAAGAGAAAGAGGGAGAAAAAGGAAGAAGGGGGATGGGTTGGGGTGAGTCTTTTTACCTGCGGGGAAGAAAGGAGAGGGCGGGGTGAGATTTTTTTAGCTGCGGGGGGAAAAAAAAAGGAAACAAGGGGAGTTTTTTTTTTTTACCTGCGGGGGAAAAAGAAGGAGAAAAGGGAGGGGCGGGGTGATTTTTTTTGTTGCGGGGAAAAGGAGAAAGGGGGAGAAGAAGGAAGAAGGGGAAAGGGTTGGGGTGAGTCTTTTTGCCTGCGGGGAAGAAAGGAGAGGGGCGGGGTGAGTTTTTTTGCTTGCGGGGGAAAAAAGGAGAAAGGGGGAGGGGCGGGTGATTTTTTTTAGCTGCGAGGGGAAAAAAAGGAAAAAAGGGGAGTTTTTTTTTTTTTACCTGCGGGGGAAAGAAAAGGGAGGGGCGGGGTGATTTTTTTTTGCTTGCGGGGGAAAAGGAGAAAGAGGGAGAAGAAGAAGGAAGAAGGGGGAAGGTTGGGGTGAGTCTTTTTACCTGCGGGGAAGAAAGGAGAGGGGCGGGGTGAGATTTTTTTTTAGCTGCGGGGGAAAAAAAGGAGAAAGGAGAGGGGCGGGGTGAGTTTTTTGCTTGCGGGGGAAAAAAAGGAGAAAGGGGGAGGGGCGGGGTGAGATTTTTTTAGCTGCGGGGGGAAAAAAAGGAAAGGGGAGTTTTTTTTTTTTTACTTGCGGGGGAAAAAGAAGGAGAAAAAGAGAAGGGCGGGGTGAGTTTTTTTGCTTGCGGGGGAAAAAAGGAGAAAGGGGGAGGGGCGGGGTGAGATTTTTTTAGCTGCGGGGGGAAAAAAAGGAGAAAAGGGGAGGTTTTTTTTTTTACTTGCGGGGGAAAAAGAAGGAGAAAAAGAGAAGGGCGGGGTGAGTTTTTTGCTTGCGGGGAAAAAAAAGGAGAATTGGGGAGGGGCGGGGTGAGTTTTTTTTGCTTGCGGGGGAAAAGGAGAAAGAGGGAGAAGAAGGAAGAAGGGGGATGGGTTGGGGTGAGTCTTTTTGCCTGCGGGGAAGAAAGGAGAGGGGCGGGGTGAGTTTTTTGCTTGCGGGGGAAAAAAAGGAGAAAGGGGAGGGGCGGGGTGAGATTTTTTTAGCTGCGAGGGGAAAAAAAGGAAAAAAGGGGAGTTTTTTTTTTTACCTGCGGGGGAAAAAGAAGGAGAAAAAGGGAGGGGCGGGGTGATTTTTTTTGCTTGCGGGGGAAAAGGAGAAAGAGGGAGAAGAAGAAGGAAGAAGGGGGAAGGGTTGGGGTGAGTCTTTTTACTGCGGGGAAGAAAGGAGAGGGGCGGGGTGAGATTTTTTTTTTAGCTGCGGGGGAAAAAAAGGAGAAAGGAGAGGGGCGGGTGAGTTTTTTGCTTGCGGGGGAAAAAAAGGAGAAGGGGGAGGGGGGGGTGAGATTTTTTTAGCTGCGGGGGAAAAAAAGGAGAAAAGGGGAGGTTTTTTTTTTTTACTTGCGGGGGAAAAAGAAGGAGAAAAAGAGAAGGGCGGGGTGAGTTTTTTGCTTGCGGGGGAAAAAAAGGAGAAAGGGGGAGGGGCGGGGTGAGATTTTTTTAGCTGCGGGGGAAAAAAAAGGAGAAAAGGGGAGGTTTTTTTTTTTCTTGCGGGGGAAAAAGAAGGAGAAAAAGAGAAGGGCGGGGTGAGTTTTTTGCTTGCGGGGGAAAAAAGGAGAAAGGGGGAGGGGCGGGGTGAGATTTTTTTAGCTTGCGGGGGAAAAAAAGGAGAAAAGGGGGTTTTTTTTTTTACTTGCGGGGAAAAAGAAGGAGAAAAGAGAAGGGCGGGGGAGTTTTTTGCTTGCGGGGAAAAAAAGGAGAAAGGGGGAGGGCGGGGTGAGATTTTTTTAGCTGCGGGGGGAAAAAAAGGAGAAAAGGGGAGGTTTTTTTTTTTTTACTTGCGGGGGAAAAAGAAGAGAAAAAAGAGAAGGGCGGGGTGAGTTTTTTGCTTGCGGGGAAAAAAAAGGAGA